ATGTACGCTTTCGAGTGAATTCAACAAAGGTAGCTTGTATCCTAGAAGACATTTAAGGGCCATTCCCTCCACCCACTTGAGGAGGGTGCAGGTTGCAAGCTGACAAATAAACAAGCCTCTGCAACTCAAAGTTTGAACTGCAGGCACATTAGTGGAGATGGAATAATATGTCTACAGAAGGTGGAAGTTGTCAAAGTTCTTCCATTGTGTGCATTCTAAAACACTGCCTCTGCTTGAAGACACACAATTTACAAAGCTCGATTTACAAGGCAGACAATTCGCAACAACCAAAGGTAATTAATGCTGCCCAGGGAAAACAAGATGCTGGATTGCTGTGCATTCTGCTATTAGTTTAAACTGGATCCTTTTTAAAAAAAAATGATTTCGGTGTAATTCTAAGCCTTTGGAATCATTGAAACAAGAATGGCTTTTAAAATATGGATGTGGCAGTAACGTTTCCCATTTGAACTTGCGACAAAGCCACTCTGCTTCTCCCTCTGCCCGTCTTTCTCTCTCTCTCTCTCCCTCCCACGTGTCCTGAAATGGAACTCTGCCCAGGAGCAAAGACACCGACCTCTGACCTGTCTCCGATGGTCTACCATCTACACACGGCAGATTTATGGTCGATTTTTTGCCACATCTGAATTTGAACCTCCAGATTCCAACGCATAGATTCATCAGCTGCTAGGATTTAGCACAGGCATCTGCAGTTTCGTTATTTGTATCTGCTTAACAGGAACAATTAGAGAACCGAGGAGTGAGGACGCCTGTTTGGGGACCGTTTCGGTATTGTGCCCAGACCACACATTCCAGCTGGGTAGGAACACAGTAATGTAGAAAGCATTAGTGGATTTAACGCTCTGCGTCGTGTTCGGGGAATCGAGCTGTCGTTATTTCTGGCAAGAACTCACACTCCAACTGATATCCATCAAACACCTTAATTAGCTCCAGTGGCGCTAGTGGTAAAGAGTCTGCCTGCTGATGCAGGAGATGGAAGAGACGTGGGTTCGATCCTTGGGTGGGGAAGATCCCCCTGAGGAGGAAATGGCAACCCACTCCAGTACTCTTGCCATGGAATTCCAGAATCCCATGGACAGAGGAAGCTGGTGGGCTATGCTCCATAGGGTCAAAAAGAGCCGGACATGCCTGAAGCAACCTAGCACGCACACACCTAAAGGCCCCCAACCCAGAAGCAAGTCAGATAGCAGGAGGAGACAAAGGCAGGAGCTGTGGGGGGGGCCGAGGTGGGGGTACCGGGTCCTCCCTGACTTCCCCCAGGGTCCCGTGGCCTCAGTTTTAGGACTAGGATGCACGGGCCATGGTGCAAAGTCAGACCAGCCCTGGCTCTCCCCGCCACGGCCACAGGGGACAAGCCGGAGGGCGTTTGGACGGTTTGACGGGTGTCCGACACCGTGGTGGGAGGAGGCCACAGTGACACGCGCCGTTGCCGACGGTAACTGAAGTCTTTTCCTCAGCCAACCGTTCCACCTGGACTTCAGCACAAATTATTGTTTTCAATTACCACCTGTGTATTCCTTCCCATGCAACTTATTGATGTAAAATTACAGCTACACCGGTATAAATAAGTTATGCTGCAGTTGTAAAATGGAAGAAATTTTGTTGTAGCAATTATGTTCAGCAAGATGACAAAATAAATTTCCAGAGCTGTGCCTGCAGTAACCTGGGGAATTTAAACCTCATAATTTCCATTCATTTCAGATAATTTGGAGTAATTTCTATATGTAATAACTTTGTAATGAAAAACACAGCGGTACTGAAGTGATTTCGCTCCATTTTTTTTCTCCTATGGTATACATGGCACAAAATAAATGATAAAAATAATATTTCCTTTTTATATGTGTGTGTGTTGAGTAATTCCTTCAGCAAAAAAAAGAATCATAAACTAATACCCAGACTAAATCTCTGTCCACAAAATGAAAAATAAATTGAGTTAAAGAAAGTGAAAAAGTATGAAAGGCTTTGGATGTTTTATTGTGACTTTATTGAATTGTCTTATTCCCAGGTTTCCTCCGATCTCTAAGGGTTACGCTTCCCAAGTAAGGGGTGAATGCAGGCCAGCCCCCAGGTTCCCAGGAGAGGGCCACAGGGAGAGCCCCCGCCCCGGAAAGCTGGAATATCCAGGCCAGGTGGCGATGTCATTCCCGGAAACTGTTGGGAAACACGGTCTCGTCCTGAGACGAGCTAAGCTGTTCTGAGTTGCTGCTTCCTATCAGGTCTAATAGCAACTTTCTCTGCGACTGAAGACAACACATTAGGCTAAGCAGTGGTCACAAGAGGGCCTCCTTTAATTAAAGACGTGGCCAGAAGGCACCGCTTCCCTGGTTGTCCCTGGTGCCCTGCCCGACCTCTGACAGTGACACTCACCAAAAATGCAGACAGCCCCCAAACGCCCAGCGTGACCCCCCGGAAGCTCCCTCTGCGTCGTTAGAGGTGACAGGGGTTACAGCAGCTGCAATCCTCCCAGCGCCGTGCAATTAGCCTGCAGCGCCCATCAAGGCTTTCCTCCACACGAGAAATGGAGGCTGGCTCTGGATGAGTCACCGGCCCCCTAAACGCTGCCTGCCAGGAGAGAAGGCCAGACTCTTGTCGGTGCCCGGGAGAGCTGTTTGCCACCCTCCAACTCGAGTTTCTCCCTCCGCCCTGCATGATCCTACCGCTGCGTGCAGCTGGGGGCGCAGACCTGGGGTCTCGGGTTGTGTACAAGGCGCCCACTGGCCAGCTGGTCCAGAGAGAGAGGAGAGGACCTTCCTTCTCAGCTCAGTGACCTCCCTGGTCTGATGGGGCTCCAGAGCACCTGTGGGCTGACTGCCTGAGCAGAGGTGAGCACAGGCCTGGTTGCTAGCACCCAGCAGTCAGCCCACAGCATCACTGTGACCCACACATCAACATCACACATGGATGGGGTGGATGGGGGGTTTGCACGCGCCAAGCACATACGGGGCACCAAGACGGTTCCTCGTCCAGACAGACCTGAATTTGCCCTCCACCCCTGCTCCAAGGACTATGTGGTGAAGCAGACACAAGATAGGACCACAGGGGCCGCGTCACAGACCACCGAAGTTTCTCATGGCCGTGCCTCCCCAGTGCCATGGGAGTAATCCAGGGGAGGGGGCGGGGATCCTAAACACCAAGTACAGAGTTCTTCCCAGACCCTCAAGGCCTGCTAGGTCAGAAACTCAAGAAGTTTATCTTATCTGATCCTGGGAAGAGAAGGACCTTCATCCCCAGGAAGTCAAGGCCAGTCTCGAAGAGGCAGAACAAGAATCACTGCCGGGTTGGTGTCTGGTACAAACATGCCACCAGCCTCTGACCAGATTGGATTCCCAGCCACCCTGCAAGGTGGCCCCTGGAGGCCCCGCTGGGTATGGAATGAAGTCAGCAAAGGAAAGTGAGTGCAGGCAGGACCAGGACCCAGGGAAAAAGAGGAGATATAAAGAGAACCAAAGATGAGGTTAATAGAGGAATCCCACACACACACACCCTGGGGAAACAGCAAAATTCAGAAAACATGACCATGGCTCTGAAACCAAATCATCTAGAAATGGGATGAAGGAGCAAAAATAAAGAAGGTCTGGAGATACCGTGTATCATAAAGGACTCAGCAGAGGAAAGGGGCTTGATGCGCAGGACAAGAGAACAGGGGTGGACGGCGGGTCTGCTGGTTAAAGTTTAGATCAGACAAATCACTAATCCTGGCACAGATTGTTACAGAGTGCAGAGCCCGGTCCCTTCCCTGGGTTTGTCCTTCCAGCAACTTTGCGAGATGCACAAGCTTCTTGATCCACACCTCCAAGAGGCAGAGAGGTCGGGTCCCCACTGCCCCTGCTGTTTGCTGGGAGACCTCAAGCAAGCTGCTTCCCTTCCCAGCGTCCCAGGTCCTCCTATCCCAGTCCTCTAAGACTCTCAGCAAGGATTACATCAGATAATCTGTCTGAAAGCCTGGAGCATGGGACCAGGCCCATAGTAGAAATGTAGCACATTAGAGATATTATTATCATGGAGCCTTATGCTGATGTCAAGAGGAAATTCACATCCAACCCAACCTGTGGTATACACTTGAGTATTTTGTTTCAGGAGTGAAAAGAGTAATTTTCCCTAGACTTCATTCATGAACATATTTATGTTGGCGAAGCACCTGCTATGTGCTGGAGACCTTGTCTTTACCAGCACGCAGGCTATAGCAAATCACTGGGCTCTGAGTTCCTCAAAGCGGACAGCAGGGCCTACCTTCTCTCCTTGGACAGTGACGGACACATAGTAGGTTTGAATGAACGAGGCAGAAAGACCTCAACATAAGACCTAAATACACCTGCATGGGGGCCTTGAAAAAGCCAAGCGCACAAAACTACGACTGAGAAATTTGCAGGCATCATCTCGGAAATGGGGGCTCACCGTTCATTTCCTTCTGTTAATCTCCAAATTTCCCATAGCCGACATTTACATTTTTATAATCAGCCACAAGAAATTAAAAATTTAAAGTTGAGGCTCCTATATACTTTGTGTTAGGGAGCAGAAGGCGAGGAAAACTGACCACCTATGAAAAACAGACTGGAAAGAGAGACAGAAATGATAACAACAATTGTATTAGGATGATGGGATTAGCAGGGCTTTAAAAAGGGCTTCCTAGTAGCTCAGATGGAGAAGGAAATGGCAACCCACTCCAGTACTCTTGTCTAGAAAATCCCACAGACAGAGGAGCCTGATAGGCTACAGTCCATGGGGTCACAAAGATTTGGACACTACTGAGTGACCAGCAGCGCTTTTATAAGAACTTATTATTTCAAACCTTCTAAAATGTCATAGAAGATCTACCTTACATTTTTCTTAAAAGAAATCAGGGGAGCAGTGACTGGACTCTGAAGAGCTCTGTGGTGAGGGGGCAGGGATGCACCTGGCTTTGAGATGCAGTGAACACTGTCCTGGCAGGGTACCATCCGAGGAGCAGGGGCCACTGAGGGAAGAGGTTTGGTGGGACCCTTTTAAAAAGCTGCCTTTCCCCGCTTCTTTCCCTTCTGTTTGGGGGACTCCGTTGCCTGGTGCTGCATGCCGGATTCTCTGAAGTCCAAAGGGGCAGGTGTTAAAAGCACTTCTCCCCACCTGCCAGGGACGCTAAGAAGCTGGGGTTGTCCCCTTCCCATCGGCGTCCGCTGCCTGGCTGGGCTCTGCGCAGGGTTGGTGCTAAGTTGGGGGGTACTCTTAGACACACACAATAAAGAATGTCCTCTCGAAGCTTCCCCCTCCTTCCCACCTTCTGTCATCCGGGGAGATAATTCATTTATGCAGCTTTCACAGAAGACTGACATTTTCGACTTTTTTAGCAGAATAAATTTATAAGGTAAATTAGGGGGTGGGAGCCCTAGTGTCCTAGGCAGATTCAAACTGGTAATTACAGAGGGCCTAATTATGTATTCACTGCAGATCTTTCTGGAACAAGGAAGGCTACGGGGTGGCTCTTGTTCCTCCTGCAGAGGACAGTCTCCCCTGGAAACTTCACAACCAGAGTTTGAGACGCTTTTGCTTCCAGCCCCGAGCTATCGTGCGGAAGAGCTTCTGTCAGCAGTACCCACGCCCTGGTATTTGCAGAGAAAATCCGGATCCTAGTCAGGCCGCCCAGATTCTCCCCAGAGATTGTGAGGTCAAGTATTCTTCAGATCAGGGTAAGGGGGCCTGACTTGGATAAAATAAAATATTTTTAAACCACAGTTTTTAAAAAACCCTGCTCGGCCACATCTTCCCGCAATTCCACTTCAAATTAGAGACCTACATCTACAGCCTGTGGTATCAAAACTACCATCCCAGCCATCTTCCCTGCTTGGCTGGGAGCTCCTTGGGAGTCGAAACTGTATCTTTTACTTCTCCATCTCATCAAAACTCGGCTTGGGGTCTGGTCTCTCTATAGTCACCTAATGAATAGAAAGGCCTAGAAAAGGACGCCAGTGGCTCTCGGAAGGGAAGGACCCTGGGCCTCAAAGTGGTGAACTGGGTGAAGGCCAGCCTTTCTCAGGCATCCGAGCACATGCGATGCTTGGACGTATCTGAGCATCTTAGTTGCAGAGCCCCCCTGTCTAGAGCCAGCTGCCCCTCATTTTCCAGAGTCCTCTCTGTTCCCATGGTGTCTGATCAATCACTTGGTAAATATGGGCTGTGCCCTGTTATGGATTGAATTGTGTCCCCCCCACCCCAAATATGTTGAAATCCTAATACCTGTACCTGGGTATGTAGCCTTATTTGGGAAGAGTCTTTATAGATATCACTTATTAAGGCAAACTTACGCTGGATTAGGGTGAACACTTAATCCAATATGACTTGAGTCCTTATAAGAAAAGGAGAAGACGCAGAGAGAGAAACAAAGAGAAGAAGGCAGGATGTCCATGGAGACAAAGATCAGTCCAGCAGCCATCTGAAATGAGAGCGGCAGGGAAGCATCGTCCTCCAGACCTTCAGCAGAGGCATGGCCCTGCTGACACCTTGATTTCAGACTTCTGCCCCCCCGCAGAACGGTGAGACAGTAAACATCTGCTGTTGTAAGTCCCCCAGGCTGTGATACTTTTGCCACGGTGGCCCTCGGAAGCTGGTACTCACTCCCGGCATGTGCCAAGCTGGGATCGAGGCACAGAGAAGAAAGCAGAAGCTGAGATGCTGGATGCTGGGTTCCTCCTTCCATCATGGACCTCCAAGTGGGCACCTCTGCTGGCCTCTTGTTCCAGCTTGGCACTTGCACGAACTTCAGACTCCTATTATAAAGGCAGAACTTGGGGAAGAGCAGAAAGTCAGTGGGGGGAATTCTAAGGGTACGGAAGGGCCTTCCCATCAACCCTCAGATCACACCTCCCCCCAGGTAAACTCACACCCAGCATCTCCACAAGGCTGACTCTAAAACATGAGCCTGTGCCTCTGAAATCCTCCAGCCGCTTGAGGTGTTAGCTTGGCGTGTGGTCAGGTTTCATTTTCATTTTGGGGTTTAATAAACAAAGAATTTTAAAAAGTCAGAGACAACAGAGAATTAACCACTTTGCAGTGTAGCCGACGACCACTCAGCACTAGGGATATGGGGTTGGATAGGAGTTGGGTCTCTGGAGTTTTACTGAAAAGTATTTGGGGTGAAATAGAAGACCCACTGCCCTCGCCTCCCCCACCACCCCTCACACCAGTGAATCATCCAAGCCAACAAAACCAGCCCAGCTCCTACACGTGCCAGATGGGAAAGAAAATTCTTTTCTTCACCCCCTCCCCTCCACCCCACCTCCCATGGACCCCTCTTAAGAAAGCTGAAGCCTGGGCAGGACTGACTCCGGATGGCTCTGTCACCTTCCAGCCTGCGTGTGCAGCTGTAGGGGAGCTGATTGGAGGGTTCACACTTCTGAGAAGTGCTGGGTCCACACCCAGACACAGGCGTCTGCAGCTTTGACCAAACGCAGGCATGAATGACGTGGATGTAAGAGGACTGCCTTCCTGTTAGGCTGCGAAGGAGAGGAAACACGGGGATGGGCTTCCAGATGAGAACAGACACAGTCTGGGCCCCTACTATGCACCAAGCATGGGCTGGACTGTTGACATCTACCCTTCCAACGTCCCTCCCCACCAGTTGGATATCAGTTAGTTTCCCGGAGGGGAAACCAAGTTCCACAGCCAGCCCAGTGCTCCCAGGCAGGAGCTTCAGAGTTAGAACTCCCAGTCCGGCGATGTGGGTATCATTCATTTCTACATCCTCACATTAGTCAGCCTCAGACAGGCTGTGCTGCAGAAACAAAATAATCTAATGGTAAGAGTTTGACACAAGAAAGGCAGATTCCCTGATGTTCTATACCTTGCACGTTAGCGGCCCTCCTGCCTCTCCAAGCCACTCCTGGTGGCCTCCAGGAGAAGAGTGATATCAAAAAGTCCCCTTGGCTCTTAAGTGCCACAACCGGGAAGGCACACATGTCACTTTTACTCACAGCCCATTGGTCAGAGCTAGTCATGTGACCCAACATAACCTCAAAGGGGGCTGGGAAACGTGAACCAGCATCTGGAATGCTGGAGGGCTGTGCCTGTCAGTCACCATAGCCAGAAACAGCATGAGCTTGAACAGAAGGGCAAATGGACCTTAACTGGAAATACCTCCACCAGTCAATTTGGGGAACAGAAGTATGGCTCCATGAGAATAATAACATGCCTGATTTGTTACATAACTGTACTTAGGATTCTTATTCTGAGCTCTTCCCCCTGCCCCATCCTCTGATATTTACTGATGGCACTGGTTTTTTTTTTATCCATCTCTCACTGAGCTTGCCCCCATCACACTGAAGACGTGAGGGCCTTCAGAGTAACACAGAGACCTCATCACTGTGCAACTTCCCACTGGGAGCAAACAAACCTACAGGATGTAGAGGGGAGTAGTCAGCTCCTCAGAAAAAGAGGCTCACGAGACAGAGCCCCTCTGGTCCGGAAATGTGTTCACCTGAGATGCTTGTCAGAAGAGACTTTCAAACTCTGGGAGCTGCGACATAACTGTGTTGTTGTCGTTGTTCAGTCTGTAAGTCACGTAAGACTGCAACCCCAAGGACTGCAGCACGCCAGGCTCCTGTGTCCTGCAGTATCTCCCAGAGTTTGTTCAGATTCACGTCCACTGAGTTGGTGATGTTATCTAACCACCTCGTCCTCTGCCACCCCCTTCTCCTCCTGCCTTCAATCTTTCCCAGCACCAGGGTCTTTTCCAATGAGTCAGTTCTTCGCATCAAGTGGCCAAAGGATTGGAGTTTCAGCTTCAGCATCAGTCCTTCCGATGAATATTCAGGGTAGGTGTGTAGGTTGATGTAAAACACCCAGGCTTCACTTCAAAACCCTCAAAATAGTGTTTGATGGATGGATTTAGATCAGAGAACTTTTCAACTGGGAGGAGCCAAGAGATGATGCGGTCCACCTACCTCAGAGGGAATCTGAGGCTGGGGAGGGGCTCACCCCCAGAGGGAGACCCCGAGCCCCGGGGGGTGCCCCCCTGCCCCTGGCTCCCAGGTTGTGGCCACAGCCCCAGAGGCCCCAAGTCCCCTTCCCACCTGTCAGTCAACACATGAGAAATGATCAGTTAAGAAGCCACAGGACTTTGTCTCCCATAAGCCTGACAACGGCTTGGAAAAGCTCACAAACCTCAGCCACCTCGGATGACAATGGGTGACAGGAAAACGGCGGGCGTGATGGGAACCTTCCACGTCAGGGGAAGGAAGGGGCAGCTCCACACAGGGCCTCCCTCCCCGCGCGTCATCTGCTCCTCGTCTCCCCGCATCCGCCCCTGGGTGCCATTCATGCCCTGCTCGAGGTCAGACCGGCAGCCCTCACCTGAGCAAGGTGTTGCCTTCAGAGAGACCACCAGGTCCTAAAGAAGCAAGAGCCGACTCAGGAGGGAGAAGGGCATGGGGTGCGGGTGGGGCGCCGTCCAGGCCACACGGCCCGCACTGAGCCCTGCCGAGATCCCGGTCGGGGCAGGGGTCTTGCCTTGGCACGCAGGCCACCCAGAGGCGAGCCTCACCGCTCTGCCACGCCCCTGTGGGTCAGGAGGCCCAGCACCCCCCCAAGAGGAAAACGGAGCCCCCAGCCTGCCCCGGACTCGCCGTCCTGACGGGCCGGAGCGGACACCCGAGAGCTGAAGGAATCCCGGGATGAGTGGCTGAGCCCCAGTTGGTGACAGAAGGGGAAACTGAGGCCCACTGAAGCCGCATCCCCAGCCGGGCCACCCCCTCCCTGCAAACCAAGCACCTCTTCCCTCTGCCTGGGCGGAGGCAGGGGGCTCCGGCCCTGCGCCTGCCGCGGGTAACAGGCTGCGCCCCGGAAGCCCGTCCCGCTCCCCGCCCCTCCTCAGGGTCTGCTCCATCCCCCTGCCTCCAGACCGCTTAGCCCTGCTCCGGGGGCTGCCCCACCCCGTCCCAGGCTTCAGGAATTTTCCCTCGGCCTGAGTACTGCGGGAAGAGACCAGGGCTCACTCGCCTGTGTGTGGCCAGCCTCCCTCCCAAGCATGCCCCCGGGATTAATGAAGCGAGCCGCGCCGGGAGGGGCAGCAGGTGGAGGCGAGGACGCGGGGCTCCAGCACGCCAGCGGGGCGGGGCGGGATGCGGCCGGGCCGGGAGTGACTCAGCGCGGGGCTGCCCGCCTGGAGGAGGAGGAGGCGGTCGGCTCCCTCACCAAACACAGCGCCCAACACCCCGCGCGACCGCAGCTAAGAAAAAGAAGCGTACGAAAGGAAATCTTCTCGGTCATTCTTAATACAGGGAAAAGAAAGAAAAAGAAAAAAGGGAGAGCGAGATTTAAAGTCAGAAAGAAGGGGGAAAAAGAGGAAAGAAAGAAAGAAGGGAACTTCCCCACTGGTCCAGTGGCTAAGACTCCAAGCTCCCAATGCGGGGGACCCAGGTTCAACCCCTGGTCAGGGAACCAGATCCCCCGCGCCACAAGTAAGAGTTCTCATGCCACAAGTAGAGGTCTTACAGACCACAGCAAAGACCAGAGATCACGCATGCCACAACAAAGACCCAGTGCAGACAAATAAAAATAAACAATTTTTTTTTAAGAAAAGGAAGGAGGGGATGGAGGAGAGGGGAGAGGGGAGGCATAGGGAGAGGCCACACAGGGCCCCCCGGAATTAGATTGTTTTCCTCAAGGCTTACCTCTTGGCCCAGGCAACCAGTTATAAAGCACTTAGCTCCCCACAGCAGGTCCTGTGAAGGGTTACCAAGGATGCAAACCCCCTCCGAGCTGTGCGGCCAGGAGACAGTCTCCTCCTCTGGCCTCTGAAAAAAAAAGCCTCACTTCGTTTTTGTGTGATCTCAAAAAAAAAAAAAAAAACCATTTCCTGAGCCCCTGCTATGTATAATGGCCTCTGAAGTGAAGCACAAAGGTTGCTAGATAGGGACCAAAATGAATTCAAATCAGAGCTCTGATACGGCCTGGCAGGGTGACCTCGGACAAGGTACTTCCGCTCCAGCATCACACTTTGCTCATCTGTAAAGCGGGAGTCCTAACCAGACCTCAGAGCCCCTGCGGCCTCGCTGAGCTAAAACAGGCGAAAGTACTAAGCCTCTGGATATGGCAGGTCCTGGACACATAAATGGGATCCAGATAAATAACCAGTACCAAGCAGAATGAAGCAAGTTCCAAGGCGATGAAGATGTGGGATGTTGTGCAAAAACAAAGGCAAGATAACTGACCAGGCAGATCAGGGAAGGCGTCCTAGAGGTAGGGGCTCCTTGCCTCCCTTTCAAGACTCAGCACAGTGCCACTTCCTCCAGGAAGACTTCTGTGCCTGGTCAGCTGGGTCAGGCCCCTCTACAGGGCTTCCACCAGCCCCTGGGGCTTCTTCCCTCACACTCCAACCTCCCTTGGGGTATAAATCTCTGTAGGTCCATCGCTGCTGCTAAAATGTATGGGGGGCAGAGATGGTGTCGCCTTACCTCTGAGTCCCCAGAGTTGCATGTGAATGACACATCCTAGTTGTGGAGTGAACAGCTCCTGTATTGGGGGTTATAATTAAAACATACTGTGATTTCCCCACACCTCTCTCAGGGGACCACCCCATTTCTCCAAGGAATGCAGATTCTTGAAAGAAGTGATCTACTCTTACTCAGCTGAATTGCTGCCTCCCACCCCCTCCAGAAGCCACTCCATCAGCTTTGGCTCAGTCAGCTCCAGGTAGCTGCTCTTGACAAGGTCACCACTGCCCTCCATGCTGCTAAAGCAAATGGTCACACTCGGTCCGCATGGTGCCAGACCCCTCAGCAGCCTACAGTTCAGCCAACCACTCCCCATTCTTCAGCGGGCTTCCAGGAGGCCACGGGGCCAACGTTTTTTTTAAACCCTTTGCACTAGTCAGCAATCTTTTTTCTGGTCCCTCCCCATCTCTCCACCTCTGGACATAGAACAACCCCAGGGTTCATGTCTTGGACCTCTTCTCAATTTACACTCACCCATTTGGTGACATCAACTTTACAAGTCCTTTCAAAGCTACATGACACTGACACCCAAATTGATGTCACCATCCCCTGCACTCTGACTCCATCTACCCAACACCTGCTTGATCTCCTCATGGGGTCCCTAACAGGCACCTGACTCTTAAGCTCTCCAAAACCACATCCTGAACATGCTCCCCAAACCTGTCCCCTCACCGAGGAAATGGTTATAGCTCAGGCTAAAGTCCTGAGTCCATCCTGACCTCTCTCTTCTGCCACACCTGACATCCACTCCGTCAGTCCATCCTATCGAATCTACCTTTAAAGTCATTGCAGACACAACCAGTTATCACCACCTCCTCTATCACCTCCCTGGGCCGAGAGCCTTCCATCCAGGCTTTCCCTGTCTACCCTTGAGTCTGCTCCCATTAGGCAGTCTGACTGTTTGAAACACAAGTGAGATCTCAGCTACATTCTACTCAAAGCCCTCAGTCACTCAGAGTAAAAGCCAAAGACCCTGCAATGGCCTGGGTGCTCACAGGTGGTCTGGACTCCATTAACTTTCTGATCTCACCTCCATCACTCTTCATCTCTCTTGCTCTCCACTGGCCTTCATTTTTGTTTTCAAGTTACTGGGGACACGCAGGCCTCAGGGCCTTTGCACCTCCTGTTTCCTCTCTCTGCTATACCCGGCCCCCTCCCCAATATCTGCATGACGTGCTGCCTCCACTCCATGAGCCCTGCTCCTCCCCACCTCCAGCCTCTTTTTACATTAAGACACAGATAACTTCGATGAAATGAACTAACTTCTTTAAAAACACAGCAACTGAAATTGACATAAAAACAAGCAGAAAAATCTCAGCATTTGTGTCTATTAACGATTAAATCTGTACCTTAAAACCTTCCTTCCCTCCTGCCTCTTCCCCTGTCTCTCCCCACCCCAAGCAAAAACAAAAACAAACCTTTAGGTCCAGAAGAATTCCCTGGTGGATTTTCCCCAACATTTAAGGAAAAAATGATACCAATTTTACACAAACTCTTCCAGGAAACAGAGAAAGAGGGAACATGTCCTAACTCATTTGATAAGGACAAATACACTGATACACTTGATCTTAGACTAAAGGCCAAGAAGTGATAGGACAAATAATGCTCATAATTATACCTGATGAAGATATTATAAAAAAAAAATGACAGTCCTTTATCCCTCATGAACACAGAGGTGAAAATCCTAAACAAATTATTAGAAAACTTAATATCACAATGTATTCAAAGGAAAATACACCATGACCAAGTGGAATTTATTCTAGTAAAGTACATTTGCCTTCTTCTTCAGCAATTGATGTACTGATGTGGAATGATCTCCAGCATATAGTGGAGGGTGACAAAGTAAAACAGTATCTATAGTATATTACATTTGGCGTAAAAGAAAGTGAAAAATAAAAAAACATAAATTCATCTGCTCCTCTGCACAAAAAGGAACAGGAAAGATAAACCAGGGACCAGTAACACTGATTAATGTACTAGCTTTCTAGGACTGTCATCACAAAGTACCACAAACTGAGGGGCTCAAACTATTGACATTGATTTCCTCACCAATCTGAGGGATGGAAGTCCAAGATCAAGGTGTCAGCAGGGCTGGATTCTTCTGAAGCCTCTCTCCTTGGCTTGTAGGTGGCCACCTTCCCTCGGAGGTACATCTGTGCTTTGATCTCCTCTTTGAGAAGGGCACTAGTCCTACTGGATTAGGGGCCCATCCATCTGACCTCATTTTAACATAGTTACATCTTTAAAGGCTCTATCTCTGAATACAGCCACATTCTGAGGTACTGAGGGTTAGGACTTTAACATAAGATTTGTAAGTTTTGCAGTTCAGTCTGTAACAGTTACCTACAGGGTTTGGGTTAGAATGGGGTGGGAAGGATGGAGGGAATGGCAGATGGCAGGATAACATTTCTGAGTATGTGTGTGTGTTAGTCACTCAGTCATGTCTGACTCTTTGCAAACCCAGGGACTGTAGCCCACCAGGCTCCTCTGCCCATGGGATTCTCCAGGCACGAATCCTGGGCTGGACATCCATTTCTTTCTCCAGGGGACCTTCCCCACCCAGGGATGGAACCCAGGTCTCCTACATTGCAGGCACATTCTTTACCATCTGAGCTACCAGGAAGCCCTTCTCTGAGTACAGTATTTTATATAATCCTGACCATATTAATGTTTCACATTCTTAAAAAAGAAGAAAATCAACAAGGATGGAGGGAGAGACCTAAATTAGAATAGAAATAAAACAAGAGCTGTATTTAAAACAAATAACTACACTGAATGGAGAGAACTAAGTAACTTTTGGACACAGTATTTGCATTACATGCCCACAGACAAAAAAAAAAAAATCTGAAGCAAACATGGAATTCTAATTAGCAAGCTCCTTTTTTTGCAGAGGTGGTTGCTGTTGTTCCGCTGCTGAGTCGTATTCAACTCGTTGCGACCCCGTGGACTGCAGCTGCTGCCTGTGGGGTCACAAAGAGTCGGACACATCTTAGCAACTGAACAACAACAACAAGCACTTCTGCAGAAAGGAAGCTTAGTAGTTAGAATTCAGGGTGGGTTAGCAATTTTGAAACTACTCTCCAGCGCATTCTAGGATGGGACAAATAAGTGACTAGATTATTGATAACGGGAGCCAGACTTTCCACTGTTGAGAAGGGAGTTACAAATACGGAAAGAGGGAGGGGAACTTCCTTGGTGTTCCAGTGGCTAAGACTCCAGGCTCCCTATGCAGTCTGCTCAGGTTTAATCCCAGGTCAGGGGATTAGATCCCACATGCCACAGCTAAGAGTTTGCATGCTGCAGCTGAAGATGCTGCATGCCACAACAGAGATCAAAATCCTGCATGTGGCAACTAAGACCCAGTGCAGTCAAATAGAAATTAATTAAAAATATAAATATCTTAAAAATACAAATATGGAAAGAGGGAAAGAACATGAATATGAGATACTGTTGGAAATTGGAGTCGTTAGCGTGAACTCATAGTTTTTAATATATGTATAGATAGTTAAATACAGAAATAAGTATAAAGGCATGTGGACATGTATGTATGTGTGTGTGTGTACAAAATTTCCCAGATCTGTTGATAACAGAGCTGAGTAGCAACGAGCATACACAAAGATGAGATCTTGTTTTATAAATAATATTCTCCACTCAAAGGAATCGCTGACTGATTCCACTGGTGCAGGGGAAGCACAGATGAACAACTTATAGCAAAAAGTAAGAAAATGTTCAAAAACATGATGGAGGC